CACGCTCCGCTCGGGCAGAGCTTGACGTGTTGTGGAGCTGGGCCGGCTTCTCTAGCCCGGACTTTGCACCTTCTGGATGACACTGCTGCCCACCACAGGGATGCATTTGCACCAGGGCTGCAAGGAGAGTCCCTGGAGAGCAAAGGGTGACATCCAGGCCTGGCAGCACCCAAATCTCGAGCGGGGACGGCAGCACCCAGCACCGCGCCGTGCAAGGGCACAGCGGAGACGGCGTCTGCTGCTGCAAAAGCGGTGCAGAGGGACCGAAAGGGAAGCGGAGGGTCAGGAAGCTGGTGCAGAACAAGGGCTGGAGCTGGGTCAAGCTGCCTCAGGCTTTCCTGCCTCGGAGCCAGATGGCCGCTCTGGGTCTTTGCAGAAGCCCTGGCACCAGCCAGCCTGAGCCCAGATGCCATATGGCCACGTTTGCCTAAGTCAGGGTTTCTTCACTCGGTGCTGTGTCAGGAAACGCAGCTCGGCTCCTTCCCAAACCAAGCCGGCAACGCGCGGTGCCCCCGCCACGGGGGGGGTGGTATGGGCTTGGCACAGCCTCCCCTTACCGGCAACCCAGCTCCCTGCTCACCGATGGGACCGGTTTTCCGGCGATGCTGCTTGGCGGCGGGCGGCACAGCCCGAGGGTCTCGCCGGGGCTGCAGGCAGCTGCTGCTGCTGCCCTGCTGGCTCAGCACCCGACCTAGCTGAGTCAAGGCTGGCACGGGTACAGAGCGGCTGGGGAGGGGACGGTGGGGTGCTGTGCAGTGGCAAGAGGTCCCCGAGGGCAGTTTCCCACACTCCCCGTCCACTTACACAAGGTCGAGCATTGACCCCGAGCCACCAAATTTGAGTGCCAGCGTTACCCAGTGGACAGACGGGCTCGTGCCGCAGCACCTTTAGATACAGGCACCTGCGGCAGAGGCTGGATCTGGATCCTGCCCCAAACCAGCAAAAGATCAGCTCAGCCCCTGCCTGAAGGTCACGCTGCAGGGCCAGGCTCGGGGCAGCCACACTGCTGGGATGATTTGCTCCTGGTTGCTTCTTGTGTAGATTCCCCCTGGATTTCCTCCTGAAAACCCAAGCGGATTGTGCCCCAGGCTCAGCACAAACCCCTTGGGCTTGGCTAGGTGGCCCCAGCAGCCTCTACATCACCCCGTGTCTTGGCACAGCCTTGATGCCAAGCTGGGAACCCCCTTTGGGAGGGCTGGCAGAGTCCTCTCCTCGCTTTGGGCATGCTGCAGTGAAAACCCACAAATTAACAGCGAGAATAAAGTCTCTGGGTAATGGGTTGCCCCAGGGAGGCCTTGGGCAGGTGGCATGGCATCGCTGTCCCCGCAGGTTTTCCCCGCTGCGGGCTCAGCAGCCCTGGGCAGGGGGATCCCAGCAGGGCCCTAAACCTGGAGACCCTCTGGGCATGCTGGGTGGGTGTGTGGGTGCCCCCAGGCTGGGGTATCGCCCTGCTCTGGCTCTGACGCAGCACAGGGCCAAGGGTGCTCCGAGGGGCTCTGGGGTGCCAGGAGAATGATGCTGCTTGAGCTGCAGCGGGGCAAAGAAAATGCAGCCTCCCAATGTCCCTTATAGCCTGGGGCGCTGGGATGCTGCAAAAACCTCCTGTGGGGACCACCACGGCCCCTGCCCCAAAACAGCCCCAAATCAGTACAAGGCCAGAAATAGCTGACGATGTCAGCCACTTCCCAAAAGCGGCGGGAAGGACAAACCCCTGAACGGGGAAGTGATGTGGTTTTGGGCTCTTCACCGCCCTGCACCAGATAAATAGCAGTCCCTGAGCGGCGAGGGGCAAGCACCATCCCCGATGCCACGGCGTGGGAGCCCGCACCGCCGGCGGCACAGGCATTCCCAGGTAATGCCACTGCTCGCCGGGCAGGTGCCGGGACGGGGACAGCCGGGGCAGAGACTGGCCCTGGGGTTCACCCCGTGGGGCTGGAACGAGGCACCCCGTGTGATGCTGTGCAGGGCTGGCAGGGTGGCACGGCACCTTGCTGTGGGGTGGCTGGCTGTGGCAGCGAAGGCAGATGGTGGCGAAGGCATCTCTGCAGGGTTGAGCCTTGTCTGTCTTCTGCTGGGGCCGGGGAAGTTGCCCAGATACCTTCAGGTCTCGGGTCCAGGCTTGGGGCTGGGTTTGGAGCCAGGGATGCAACCGACCCACACCGCTCGGTGAGGGCTTGGTGCAAGTCCCCGAGCGGCAGAGATTGGCAAAGCCGCGACGGCGGCAGCGAGAGGGTGGTGCGGGACTGAGCAGCTTCCCACCCCATGCAGAGGGTGCTGTGCTGTCCCAGGCTTTGGGACTGGGGCAGGATCAGTGCTGGGTGGCTGCGGAGCAGGCAGCGATGGAGCAGGGCTGGGGTACGGAGCTGCACCCCGCTTCCCTCCCTGCTGCCAGAGCTGCCCTTGCTGGGTCTTGCAGGCAGAGGGATGGGACAGACAGCGGGGAGGTGGGCTCCCCCAGCCCCCAGGAGCGGTGTGTTGGGTGGGAGGACTGTGGGGACAGGCACGGGGATTTCGCATCCACCCCTCATCCCGGGGGAATGCTGCCCCACTGCTCTGTGGTCCCCATCTCCATTGCTCTCTCTGCATTGGGACATGGTGGAGGCTGAAGGTACCAACACTAGAAGTTTCCCCCCTTTGTGCTCAGCCCTGGTTGCCACATTTCTACGCCAACAGGTGATTTTTACTAAAGCTTGAAGAAGTTAGAGATCTCCCTTGCACTTGCTGGCACGCACGGGAGCCCTCGTGGGGATTTTGCTGGCTGCCTCATGGGCTGGTGGCAGCTCAGGCTGAGAGTGACTGTGGGTGCAGAGGAGACCGTTAGAGGGTTCTTCACTGGGTAATGACCTCTTTCTCCCTATTTTCCAGTGCATGACCTCTAAATATTCTTGCCTAGTTGGTATTAGGTGATAATGCAAAACATGTTCTGCTCTGGCATGTGCAATGTCTCTGGCCTAGACCGCCACTGCGTTGTGCACGTGCACACGCACGCAGAGGCTATTACAAATTTTTTTGTTGAGAAATCTTTACAAATGTTTTAATTTTGTTGAGCTAACGAGCAGCAGGGCCCCACCACGGCCTGCCGTGTTCTCCAGCCGCAGTGCGGGGCGGGTGGGCGGATGGGAGCTGGGGGTCCCCATCCCGCACCAAAGGTCCGCTCGAGGCCGCGCCGCCCAGAAACCGAAACTGGGAGAAGCACGGCAGAAGAAATGAAACTTGGCGTCAGCGCAAGCGGGGAGCTGGGGAGTGTACCCTGGTGCTGAACTGGCGCTTCCTTCCTCCTTTGCCCCGAGCCCGGCGTCCACCGCCGATCCCATGGCTATTTCTGGCCCCCGCATGGTCCCCGGCTCCCCCCGGCCCTTGGGCAACCCTCCAGCCCCATGGCGCCAGGGGGGCCGGGGCGGTGGTACCGGTGCACGGTCACCCAGGGGGCATTTCATTTGGTCTTGGTGCTTCAGTTTGGCCAGGAAAAATCCCAGGCAAAGCTAAAGCTCTCACGAGTGCTTTGGAGTCTAAAATACCTCCCTAAACCAAATTAGCGGCAAGCAAATTGAAAGCATATGTTGGAAGAAAAGGTGTTAGCAAAGCAGCAAATCATTGAAGGAGGAAAAGGTTGGCTCAGGGCGTAAAGCGCTGCCTCGTTCAATATGGAAAGATTGCTAAGTTGTTTGATAAAGATCTAAATTGAAATCAATCAATTAATTTATTTCCATGACAATGAAAAAAAATTCAGAAAAAAAATTTCTGGTTTATCAGAGAATAATTTCTTTAAATTTAAAAATAATTTCATCAGTTTGCTTAGGTCTAGAGCTTCAAAAAGCCATTAAACCTACTAAAAATTGATAAATCCTTAGTTAAAACCATCCCACCTGAATGTACAACACCAAAAAGCGGAGGCAGACCCCGGGGAGGGCAGCAGCTGTGCCAGGCTTGGAGCTGCGGCCACGCTCCTCCTCAGTGCAGATGGTCTTATTGAAATCAAAACTTCAGAGTCTAAAAATCCATGCCCTTCAGTCCCACTTCCAGGACCTGATCCTCAGCCTTCTGCAGCCCGGGGCACCGGCACCTTTGTGTCTCCGGTGTTTTGGCAACTGGGATGCTGTGTGCCCAGCAGAGCTGCAATATCGGGATAGCTTTAACGTGAGCCCGACTGTGTCCCTCTGTCCTCCATCCCCATGTTTGTGCCCCCCCACCCCCAGAGTC